TTACCAATGGAAAGAGTATTGAGTATTCTTTGATTATAAACTCATGATCATTCCCTATTAGTTGATGTGGGACTTATATCATCCAACACCTCCCCTCGAACAAAGTACGCCTCCCCTTAATTGAGGCTAGACTCCTTTCTTTTTTTTGGAGTCGTAGTCATTTTTTACTATGCCTTCGTGGAGGCGAGAGGCTAGACTCCTATTTTTTTTTTGGAGTCGTAGTCATTTTTTACTATGCCTTCCTGGAGGATCGCCTCTTTTTCTTTTGGAGTCCTTTGTTCAACATTTGAGAACTTACCAATCTATTGACACGACTAAGTTTAGGGCATGACTCTTATACCATGTTAGATAGACGAACACAACTCTCCACCAATGGTATGATATTGTCCACTTTGAGTGTTAGTTTTTATAGCTTTGTTTTGGGCTTGTCCAAAAGGTATCGTAGAGAGAGTATTCTTTGATTATAAATTCATGATCATTTCCTAAATTAGCCGTGGGACCTTCATCATCGAACAAGATACATAAAGAATTGAAAATATTTTTTTTTTGAAGTCTTTTAGATTTATTGTTTAATTTGCTAAAGTTGTGAGATTAGATTTGCCTTGGCGGCCGAGTACTCCATATATATATATATATATATATATATATATATATATAGTATAATATAATAATATAAAACATATCAAAGAGAAGATTGCATGAAAAGTGGCTTTACCTACAAAATCTCTTATTTCTTTGGTTGAAGTTGACGAAGTTTCCACGACATTAATTGCTCCATGCTTTTTCCCCTTTTTTTTTTTTTTAATTCTAAAAATTAGATATTTTGATTTTAGGGTTAAAAAATTACGAAAAAAGTAATCCTATTTGGTTTTAACGTCTTAAAAGAAAACACACCGACACCTCCTGATCTTGACGGAGTAACAAACTCCCCTTTAATTCTGAATATTATATTATTATATTTCAAATTGTTATTTCCACACTTATTTTTTTTATGCTTTGATAATTGAAATGTAGACAATCTCAATTCTATTCCATCAATCGGACTCTGATTTCGTTGTCAGGTTGAAGTTTTAATTAAATAGCATTTAAAACCAAAATTGATTAATTAAACACATGTCAAGCATATAATTATCCTAAATCTTTTACAACTTTCTTTCATGTATTACTCTTTTTTTTAACTAAATATGTATTACTGGTTGGGAACAGAGAGAATTGAAAAGATAGATAAATGGGAAGAAATCTCTCAAATTTACTAAATCTGTTATGACTAAATCAAATCTAATTTAAATAACTAAATTAAATCTAAATTAAAATAATTTTAATGATATTTAGTCTTTAACGGGCGTTTTTTAAGCGTCATTTTTTTTTTCCAAATCCTTGTATTTTAATCCTCAGGTTTCTAGATTTATTTTCATATTTGAAATTTTCTTATGATTGCATATACCATTATTTTTCAAAATAGGAAATGCCGACGTGTCGACCAATAAATGGCTCCTAGAATACCTTTCTAAAAGTGGGCCAACCCATCTTTAATTCCGCCACGTGTGACATCATTTTTTTTTTTTTGCCGACACTTACAGATCTGTGACTGTGATTATTTATAAAATAAAAAATAATTATATTAAATTGAAAACGAATAAAATATTCGAATTTTAAATTTAGAAAAATCGAAGCATTTCTCAGAAGGTCAAAACTGCCCTCCTTGGAAAACATTCCACTGGACTTTACAGACCCGATTTCAGACACGTTTAAATTGAAGCCTTCGCCATATATTTTTAAAATATAAATAATAATTTATTATAATTTCCAAATTTCTAGAAAATGAAGCCACCAGATAAATCAAATACAAAAACAGAATGACGGTGCTCGTGTTCCACAGCTAGATGACTACGTGCTTGCATTAATGTCTAATTATCCCTACAAATGAACACGAGTCCTTTCAATTTATTCACATGCATCTTAAATTTTTTTTAAAGAAGTTATTCCACATAAAATTACTGGAAGAAAAACACACTTAATCATAAAGTTTATATAATTGAGTGTCTAAAAAAGAAAGTGTCCACATAAAATTACTGGAAGAAAAACACACTTAATCATAAAGTTTATATAATTGAGTGTCTAAAAAAGAAAGTGTCCACATAAAATTACTGGAAGAAAAACACACTTAATCATAAAGTTTATATAATTGAGTGTCTAAAAAAGAAAGTGTCCACATAAAATTACTGGAAGAAAAACACACTTAATCATAAAGTTTATATAATTGAGTGTCTAAAAAAGAAAGTGTCCACATAAAATTACTGGAAGAAAAACACACTTAATCATAAAGTTTATATAATTGAGTGTCTAAAAAAGAAAGTGTCCACATAAAATTACTGGAAGAAAAACACACTTAATCATAAAGTTTATATAATTGAGTGTCTAAAAAAGAAAGTGTCCACATAAAATTACTGGAAGAAAAACACACTTAATCATAAAGTTTATATAATTGAGTGTCTAAAAAAGAAAGTGTCCACATAAAATTACTGGAAGAAAAACACACTTAATCATAAAGTTTATATAATTGAGTGTCTAAAAAAGAAAGTGTCCACATAAAATTACTGGAAGAAAAACACACTTAATCATAAAGTTTATATAATTGAGTGTCTAAAAAAGAAAGTGTACTTTATCCGTATAGATAGTGATTTTTAATCTTTTTAAACTTTTCTTAGTCTTCTTATCCTCAATACTGCTCTTGTTCGAATATAATATTAGTTGATATAGTATTTAGATGTCACAATTATAATTTCTTTCTTTGACAAATTGACTTCTAATTTATAATTTTAGGTTGAATAACTCTTTAAAATGTAATTAAATTTTTAATTTTATATTTATTAAATATAAAAATGGAAAGTTTAGAATTGATATTAAATGTTGGGTAAAAAATTTGAGTGGACATAAATGTAAGAATTTATGGACAAACAAATTTATAATTTAATTAAATAGAAATCAAAGTGATGAACAAAATTAAAAACTTATTTTGTTTTAAAAAAAATATTTATTTAGCTTAAAAGAGCATCTCATTGCTTCTTTGTTGGTCTTCTTCTCAAAATGTATTGATTTATTAATTTTATAGAAGTTACCAACTTCAACAACTTTATACGACTTTATTACATATATACCTTAGCCCAAGTTATTAAAATCAATCCAATTATCAATATAATTTTTTAAAAATAATTTAAAAACTAAAATAAATATCCTTTTCCTTTTTTTTTTCTTTTTCTTTTTCTTTTTTCTTTTTTCTTTTTTCTTTTTCTTTTTCTTTTTCTTTTTCTTTTTCTTTTTTATTACCATTTTTATCTTTCTATATTGGAGAAGGAAATAATATAAACTAAAATAATTAAGATGAACAAAATATGCAATAACTTAGGGCATACAAATAATATAAATTTGTAGTGAAATTAAATATATAAATAAAATAAAATTAAAAATACTTCCATTAATTATTTTAAATTAGAGAATTAATTTCAATTTTTTTTACTAAATAAATTAGAAATTAGAAGCAAAGTTGTTAGGTGCATTTGGACCCCATTAGATGCTCACAAAACGACAACGTTGAAATGAAGGAAAATACATTGAATGGCTTACGATAAAAGAAGGTGAACAATATTATTACAAATTTTTTTAAAAAAATTATTATTATTATTATTATTTTCCCTATTGCTAACAAACTTTAATGTTAGTTACAAATATAAAGTCATGATATATTCAAGTTTTTTTTTAATGTTATTTCTCAATTTTTTTCGTGCACAGTGGATTATTTCTGATCCTCATGATTCTTGAGATAATAGACACGTTATTATAATGTGTTCTTTAATTCTTATGAAGGATCCGACAAGATCAGGCCAAAATCACTAAGAAAGAGTTGGAAAGAAAACTGGGGGTGTAATGACGTAGATGTAGAGGAGACAGAGTTTTAAACAATGGAGAAGATGATGCATGTGAGTGCACGTGTGTGAAACTGAGTGTGGGTGAGGATGCTCGAGCACGTAAGATGCGTCTGAGCGCATGGGGTGAGGTTTTCATATTGTGGGACATTTTTTAAAGTTTTTTTGTCGAAGTAGGAAAAGGGACCACATGGAGTTGGCAGACATGAGGGTCAGTTCCTTTTGTGTTACATTCGCATTGTGAGACTACTGGGGCAAGGCCGACTACCCTAATAGTTTATCTGTTATAGATAATAGACTACAGGATATACGATAGAAGATCTAGGTTGGAAATACAACAACATACACTAAGACCGGAACACATTATAGCTTAGTACATCTTAGCCTAGTTAACGAGCTAAAAACTAGCAAGCTAGAGAGAGCTTTGTTGGGCTAACGTACAAGAGTTAGAAGCTTGCCAATTGAAAATTAAAAGTAAACCGAGATAAATTAATAGAACCTAAATGCTAATCTAGAGGCTCGAGCCAGAGTTGTTTGAATAAGTTTTCAACTCAGAATTTAAGTTGAGTATAAGAGATTTAACGTAACAATCGAAGCCCACCGCTAATAGATACTGTTCATTTTGACCGATTACGTATCACTGTCAGCTTCACAATTTTCAAACCCGTCTTCTAGGGAGAGGTTTCCACACTCTTACAAAAATGCTTTGTTTTCCTCTCCAAGGACCTTACAATCTACCCCTTGGGGCCCAACGTCTCCACTTGCACACCGCCCAGTATTTAGCTCTGATACTATTTATAACAACCCAAATCCACGGTGAGTAGATATTGTTCGTTTTGGCCTATTACATATAACCGTTAACCACGAGAAGAGAGATGTTGTCGTAATATATATATATATATATATATATATATATATATATATATATATTATATATAATTTATATTTAACCCTTAAAGAGAGAGAGAAAAAAAAAAGGTTGTAAAGTCATGGACTCATAATGGGGCAGTGGTATACCACGTAGGCAACCGGTCACGTGTCGGTGGCCTTAGTTTTAGATATAAAAACGACTCATCCCCTCTTCAATTTCTCTCTAACTATTTTTTAATCTTCCAATTCATTTCACTGTTGCTCTGTCTCTCTCTGTCTCTCTCTCTCTTGCTCTCTCTGCAATTTCATAAGCCTTCTGATCGCAATTTCACTACCGAAGAGCAGAGGAAGGACCGTGAGTGAAAGGAGTGCGGCAGGTCTGGCCGGGCTCAGCACCATAGCCGTTCGACTTGGCGGCGGCGGCGGTGGATTTTGGTACCGGAGGAAAAAGAAGACACGGAGCAGGAGTAAGACGAAAGTTAAGCATCGGTTTATGGAGCTTTGGCACAAGATGATTTTCCCTGTCCGACGAGTTTGGCTCACTGTTTCCGCTCGTGTTAGGGCCCGGAAGAGTGGTTAGTCTCTTAATACTCTTCCTCTTTCCACTTCCTTTTTACCTTCGATTTTTTTTTTCCTCCAAATCGGAGTTTGATTATGGCTTAATTTTATCGAATGTGATGATCTCGACTAAATGAATTGCTTCTGATTGATGGAATTGCTGTATTTCTGTTTCCATCAGGCTTCTCCGGTTTCGGATTTTTTTTTTTTTTTTTTTTTTTTTTTTTTTTTTTTTTTTTTTTTTTTTTTTTTTTTTTTTTTTTTTTTTTTTTTTTTTTTTTTTTTTTTTTTTTTT